TCTAAAAACAACCATGACTCACCACAGCTTCGCAACCCTCTGTGCTCTATCTCCATCATCCCTCTGACCATCAGCTGCTTCTACGCCACCCTCGAGCCCTCGGATGGATCTTGCTACTCCACCACCAAGCCCGCTGATGGAGAGCCCCCATCAGGCCTCAGCATCTTCGGCCTCATCACCTCAAGGGTGGAACTCGCCCAGCCACCCCCAACTAGCCGCTCTCGGCTGGCAATCAGCGGAGCAGACCCCCTCAAACACCGCAGTCTCCGGTGCATCGCTGTGGGCTTTGGGCGACCCTGTGTGCCGGGCTCTTTTCCAAGAGTCTGAAGACAATGACCCCCACCCCGGCGAGAGCCGCGGACAGCCTTCGCCCGTGGACAACGATGAGGCCGCGACTCTACTCCCCACCGCTGTTTTTGAACTTATAATATTAACTCTCAAGTACCTCGTTAACTCGCTGCTCCAGAAACATAGACAGGACGTGTGTCAAGGATGCGAGGTCTCCCACCCCTCACAGAAACGACCTTCTTGCCTTTTCCCGCTGGAAAAATATTACTTTTTCAAGTACTATGATGAACTCTGCAGAAGATCATGGAATGGACATTTCACCAACACATTATTACAAATTTTACAGTTAGAGGGTTTTTCACCACCAGCGGCTCAAGTCAGAGGTGTGGCCCAAGCGTATCTCTTTGAACTCCGAGATGCCCGCGATATAGAGACCGCGCTGCAAGAAATTGACTCAAGCGTTACAGAAGTTACCCGGACCATAATTGATAAATTAAGATGAGAATTACTGTATGTATTGTTTTTCATTACATCAAATAAAACTTTCTTGGAAAAACTTTACAAGAATCAAACTTTTTTGTTTTACTAGAATCAAAGTGTTGAAGGTGGGCAGTGTTATTAATTACATCAAATAAAATATTTTTGTAAACTCGTTACATGACATAACTAACCGCTCATCATGAAATAAAACCATAGTTAAACACAACTTCAAAAATCACACATGGCAGAGCAGAATCTATTGAAACGTGCATATTATGACCCATCTCACCCTGGTAGTTTTTGCACACCGCACATGTGAATAATTTATTGATCATAAATCACTCAGTTTGACATAAGGGGTATAATACCATTTTTTTTGCCTGTCCCGTTTGGCTCTTTTGCATCAGAATTATTGTCTGAAGGCGAAGAAACGGATTTACTTTACCAAATGCACCATCCCAGCCTTGCCGTATTTGATTCACCTTTTATTGTTTATTTTATTTTCTCTTGCTGAATACGGGACAGACTTGACTGGGGGAAAGAAAAACAGCTGAGCAGAGGGACGGGGGAGAAGGGCAAAAAAACAAAAACCAACAGAATAAGCAGATAATAAATAAATAAATAAATATATCAATCACCTGGATCACCTGTTGAGAAGGAAAAAAGAAAACAAGCAGAAGAAAACGAGAGTAATAGAATAAACAACATCACAATGATATATGGGAATATGACAGTAAATACTAAATATTAAACATTATTGTGCAGCACGTAAGAGCCTGTTTTACTTTGAAAGTCTGTGTCTCATGTTAATGCGTCTGGTTTTGCTTCCTTTGTCTCGTCAGCCCTGATTTGTCCCAGCTGTGTTTCCCTCCTATTTCCCATTCCCTGATTGCTCCCTCTGTGTATTTAAGCCCTGTGTCCGTGTCGTGATCTACCCTCATCTTGCTGTGTGTGCTGCCTGCTGAGGTTGTTTATTTTGTGTTCTAGTTCAGCCAGTTTTCTGTTTTGCTGTCCAGCATTAAAGCTGTATTTAAGTTCACCTTTTATTTCCGTGAGTCTGCATTTTGGGTCCTCTTCCTGCCTGCACACAGCTGTCACATGACAGTAAAGAAGCTACACACACTGGGTCATTGCCTCACATGTTTCTGTGTTGAATTTCTTCTTATGTCTCTGGTGCTGTGTAAGTGCCCCACAGTGACTTCCTGTGAGGGTTTCAATGGTAGATGGACTCCCTTTCCACTCAGTTTGACTTCT